CTCAAAGAAATTATTGGGAAATTAAATTAAAGATTAATTTAAATTGAATTTAATTGTTGACTATAAAGATTATTTTAAAAGAAATTGTTCTTTTCGATTGTAACTTGACAATGTCACCATTGATCAGCATCAACAATAACCAAATTGGCAAATTTTAACTCCGTTTTTACCGTTTTTATTTTAGGGCGTAGATTTGACATGATAAAGAACTATAAAAAGAATTAATTCAAATATTTTTAACTGGTGAATTTGTTGAATTCTAATTTTATCAACATTCGAATAACTTTTAAGCTTATACATTATAATATCATAAGATTAGACACATTATCAAATTAATCAATGGGCGTCCTTTTTTTTCCTCGACGATAAAAAAAAACCCAATTTTTTTTTTTTGAAATTAGTCGTACAATTACATCATTCTGATGCAGATAAAAAAATAAAATTTCGTGCGAGTATATAAAGTCTATGAAGTCGTTTGGGACGTTTATTTTTAAATATCCAAAAAACCAAAATTTGTTGCTGCGCAAATTTTCTATATACAGCAAAACATAAATGGCCCCATTTCAAACGCTTGATCATCATACGGGTGAGTTTTTATTTTATTGATTATGAGAGTGCATTAGGGCAAATTAATGAACTTTTTTGTTTTGTTATCATAGATGATGCATTGGAGTGCGAAACAAAATTGTCGCTCAACGAGAAAACTTGGGCAGAAATCATTGCTTTATGCCAAGAAAGGGGTAAATTTAGAGTTTTTTTTTTAAAAAAAATAGTATATATATACTAACAATTTCTTTCCTAATAAATAGGATTAAACGCAGAAGGAGATAAAGCCTCTTTGATACAAGTATTATGGGATTGGGTAAATATTTAAATCCAAAATAATATCAATTATAGGAAACTGAATAAATAGAGATATATATATATATATATATTTATCAGAAACAAAATACGCGACCAGTTCCTGCACCTTCTACTCCACGTCTCTTCGCGGCTGATGGGTCGAGTAGCCCCCGACAAAACAAAATTAACTCGGTATATATATCATCATTACTTCTTGATGATGAAACAAGCGAAATTAAATATGAAGATTTAGTAATTGGGAATAAATTAGGTTCTGGAGGTTTTAAAGATTGTTATGCAGGAAAATATAAAGGGGTAAATATTTGTGAACTCTTAATGGTGCAAAGATTGATTTGCAATAATTACTCATCTCAAACGGAATTTTGTTTAGGAAATTGTCGCTATTGGAGAGCTTCGCGTAACTAATTTTAGTGAAACCGACTTTAAAGAAATGAGACACGAAATTAATGTCCTCAAGTAAGTACACCAATGAATTGAAACCTTAATCATTTAATAAAGCTAATAAACTCCAACTATTTTTCAACAGGCAACTGCGTCACGAAAATATTGTCCAATTCTTAGGAGTATGTTCTAATTCTAAACATTTATGCATCGTTACTGAACTATGTGAACATGGTGATTTGTTTGATCACATGAGGAGAGTTCCAAGACCATCTTTTAGTCAACAGGTTTGTCATTTAAAAAACAAAATTAATTAATTCTCCTCTTTCAAGTATTTTATTTTTCTAATCTTTGAATTTTTTATTAAGATAATGTTTATGCACGACATTTCACTTGGTGTAACATATTTACACACTCGTCGTCCAAGCATTATTCATAGAGTGAGTCATTGTATTTATTTAATAATTAATTTATTTAAGGTCGTTGTTTTGACATTCATTTTTCCTTTTTCCTTTAGGATTTGAAATCTATGAACATATTGGTATGCAAATTTCCTAAATAATTTTGAATCTTTTCGCAAATATATCAATAACTAGTCCTTTTTCTTTAGATATCTTCCGATTTACGAGCAAAAATCAATGATTTCGGATTAGCCCGAATTAGGCCAAGAGCGAATGCAAGTATGCACACTCAATGCGGTACTCCAAATTGGCAAGCACCAGAATTTTGGACCTCTAATCCAAGTTATACTGAAAAGGTATTGTATGATTAATTTCTTTGAAAAATTTTCGAATATAATTTTTGATAACTCTGGTATTGTAGGTTGATGTATATGCTTGCGGGCTCATTTTTTGGGAAATTATGACATGGGGAGAAGCTGGATATCCTTATCAAAATTATTCAGAACATCAATTATATGAAGCTGTTAGAGATAAAAATGTTCGTCCTCCAATAGAAAATTTAAGGAATTATCCAATTACACTCCTTAAACTAGTTGAATCTATGTGGCAAAAAGATCCAAGAGCGGTAAATACATGCTTAGTTATTGTAACTTTATTTTACATAAAGTATTAACGAATTTCTCTACCTTTAGCGACCATCTATGGGTCAAGTGGTTGAGTCACTTGTCGAATATTTGTCTTAGATCAACAGATCAATTCTTATTTACTAAAATATGCATATATTTTGTATCCGATCATTCCAGCTGATTAAAAGAACTCTCATGAATCTAAAATTTATACTCATTAGAGAGAGATGTCAGCAAAGAAAAAGGACTATGGAGATAAGCGTTGCGACGTAAACACCAATTATATGGATGGATGAAAATTTTTTCATTCCGTAATGTTACCTCGGAACTGTCAACTCTTTTCTTTCATTTGGTTTGATATAATCTTAAATCTTAACATCCATTACACATTATAACATATCATTTTGCACATTTGCATTTAATTTAATTAAGTTATTAGTTGATTTTTTATGTTCAGAGAATGTATTATTTTTTTTCTTTTAGTTTGTTTGTATTAATAACTTTTATTGATATTTATATTTGTAAATTAAATTGTATCATTAACCTTCGCTTTTTTCGCGCGTCATTGACGCGTTTTCCATGAAAAATGCGTTTGAATTTTAAAATAGACCTTTTTTTTTTTATTATTAATGAAATTACCTTTGGTATAAGACGCGAAAATTTGGATGTATATTTTTAGTGATTATCTTTATATGAAAATTTTACATTTTCACATTTTTTACTGTTTTTACTTAATAGGTAATTTTATTTAAAAAAAAATGGTTGATTTTTGGAATGATGATATGATATACCCATTAATAAAATAAAACTTTTCTTCAAATACTGATACACGAACTATCAAACGTATCCGGTCAAACTCTTTTTTCTTGATATCGAATACATTATAATTATAAAAAAAAAAAAAAATAAATGCTTTGGTTATGCATTAAGATACATACCGGATTTGGTAATAAAAAAATCAATTTTTATCGATATTGATTTAGTATTGATCATTTCACTTTTTAACTGTAAAATGGGAAAAAAATTCATTAATCTTCCGGATTGTCCTTTCATTCTCCGGATCTTAATCCTATTGAGCATTTGTGCATGAACTTGAAAGTAAAAGAACCGAACATCCAAAGAATTTGCATGAGCTCAAAGAAGCATTGTAAGAATGGAAATATCAAATCTGAACTTATAATCACGTCAAATTGAAGCATCCATTAAAATAAGTAAAGGATGATCAACTTAATATTAAATATTATAATTTAATAATCAAATTAATTTGACGGGACACTTTTTTTGAGGGTAGTGTATTAAGAAATGCATAAAAAAAAAAAATGATATTAAGGAGAGTTGGGGACCTAGATATTGGGACAGGATGCAAATACTAGTATGACCATAAAAAATTTTCTTACTACGCTAATGTTTAATTCTTCAAAGGTGATCTTATAATTTTTTTTTAAAAAAATAAAAACTAGGTTTCATTAGCCAAAATCCTGTTCCCATATACTTGGATTTCCCGAAATAAAAAAAATTTATTCGAACAGCAGGATTAGAACACCAAAAAAATTAATGAAATGTTTAAAAAAGGAATCGTCAAAGAAAATAATTCGGAAATTCCTTTTCAAGCTCTTTTTAAAAATTAAAAAATGATCTGCCAAAGTTAATCGGAATGCTAAAATGAGCAATAGATCGGGGGGGGGGGGGGGGAAGGGAAAAATAAAATATAATTTTTTCGTTCATATTAAAAATAAAAAAAAGAAAATTTTTTTTTTTTTTTAAAAAAAAATGCTTAATCAT